GTTTTGATAATGGCTTTTCTTTTTTATTTTTATTTTTTTAATTTTTTTTTGAGATGAAAATTGCTATCATTGCTATTTGTTAATTAATTGAATGAAAAAGAAAATTTTCCACAATTGATTTAATAAATTTTAATTTTCTTAATTAAAACAAAATAATAATTATGCCAAAATTTTATTCCAGCATTATTTATTAAAATATTTTCTTGCTAATCTTTTCGAGAAAATATTTAGCAAACATTTTGTTTAGTTAAATTCATTCATTGAATAAATTTTTTTGATATTATTTCAATTTAATCCAAACTTATGCATTTAATTTAAATATTGTAATTTTTCATTGCAAAAATAAATTGCATAAAAGGAAAATGTCTAAAAAAAGAAATGTTAAATTGTCATTCTCGATATGATCGAAGTTTTTCAATGAAAATTTAGCATTCTCAAAATTATTTTATAAAAATTTAACATCAGCAAATATTTCACTTCATTCTTTTCAATAAATATTTCATATACGAAAAATTCTAATTGCTAAGAATTAAAAAAAAAGTCACAAATTTTTATTTTATTTTTTTAAATAATACTAATATTTATTTATTTATTTTTTTTTTTTTGATGCATAAAATAATTTCTTAGCAAATTATGGTAGAATAATTTAATCAAACTTTTTGTTTTCTAAAGCAAATTTCAAGAAAAAATTTTTCTTAAAATTTGCTACAAATTAAATTTCAAATAAATTTAAAAATTTCATTGTATATGTAATAAAAACAAAAAAAAAAAAAATACAGTAAATTCTAATTGCTAATAATTTGCAAAAATAAAAAATAAAAAAAAAAATTGAAAAATTTTTATCAATTTTTTCTTTTAAATAATGGGTTGGATTTTTTTTTTTTTTTTTGAAATTGTAAATAAAAAAAAAGAAAAAAAACTTTAAAAAGATCCGAAAAATGGATAATATGTCAGTGCACAGACATTTATATGTATGTATGTATGTACACACACATACATACATACATTTGTATGTAGAAAAAAGAATTGACAATTGGTTGATTAACGATTACCGCTAAAATCATTTAGCCACTTTTTCGTTAAAATTATGAAAAACTACAAAATTTTAAATATACATATGTATGTGTATGTATGTGTATGTGATGTATGTGTATGTGCATATCCATGTTTACAGCAAATTAATCTTTCAATTTAACATTTAATTTAAGTTTTAATTGTAATGTGATGCATGTATTACGCATTAGTGCATATCCATGTAATTACAGCAAATTAATCTTTCAATTTAACATTTAATTTAAGTTTTAATTAAAGTTTATTAATGATCTAACAGGCATAATAATAATAATAATAATAATAATAATAATAATAATAATAATAATAATAATAATAATAATAATAATAATAATAATAATAATAATAATAATAATAATAATAATAATAATAATAATAATAATAATAATAATAATAATAATAATAATAATAATAATAATAATAATAATAATAATAATGAATAATTACTAATAAATAAACGATACTAAATTGCAGTGAATTAAGCTTTTAAATCATATTAAAATTTTAAATAATTACTTGTAATTAGTTTTCAGTTTAATTACTAAACAAAATATCAATGACCGATTTAAATGATTACAAATTCGATAAATGCATTTCTCTCTCTCTCTTTTTCTCTTTCCCTCGTTCTTATTACCTCTCTCTCTCTCTTTTTCTGAATTCATATTGATGAGATATGACTAAATATGAAAAATTTTTTAGCTATAAACAGTAATAATTGAAATGAAAAATAAAATAAATAAATAAAAACAAAATTTTCCGGAACGAAGCAAACAGTTTTAGTCGTATACGGAAAATAGAAAAAAAAAGGATACAGGAAAAAAAATTTTTGAGAAATTTTAAATCCGTAATTTAGCCGAAAGCATTTCGGAGTAGAAGAATAGATGAAATAAATTTCTTTTTAGGATTTTCGTTCTTTTCACAAATTTTTTAAAACTCGCTGTAAGACAATAACATCAAAAGATTAAACTCTTTTTCTTTTTCTCTCTCCCTCTCTCTCTCTCTGTTAGTGAGAGAATATTTGAAAATTCAAATATTCAAATTTTAATGAAAGAAAAAAAAATCATAAAAATGTTACAAAAAAAAGGTTAATGATATAATGATTTTGTCAAATAGAATTTGAAAAAATTCGAAGTTATTCCAAAACTAAATTCAAATGCTAAACTCATTTTGAATTTTAAATTAAAATATTAACTAAATAAAATTGTAAATAAAATTTCTTTCAAATGTGAAAAATTTAATAAATAAATTTTATAATGGTTTGAAAACTGAAAAATGGTGAAAAATTAAAAATATAATAAGTAATAAACTTATTAAAATTGAACTTTTTTTCTAAAAAAGATAATAAACAAAAGTTTTTCTAAAATTAAAATTTGAAAAATATAACAAAGCAAAAAAAAAGATTAATTTATTTCCGAAAATTAAAATTTGGAAAAAATTATTAAATAAAATAGTTATTAATACTCAATTTTAATAATAATACTATATGCTAAAAAGAAATATTAAAATGTTGGAATGAATTTTTCATATGTATATATACTGTTCCTTTTTTAAAAAAAAAAAAGAAAGAGAAAAATTCAGAAAGAGATAAAAGTACAGAGAGAGAGAGAGAGGGAGAGAGGGAGGGAGAGAGAGGGAGAAAAGGATAAGATAATTAAAAGGAAATTTGCATATTTTTTTGATTATAAAAATATATTAACAAGCAAATAATAGCAGTGAGACTATTTGTAAAATGGAAATAATATAAAAAAAAATTTCTCGAAAAGAGAAGAAAAAAATTAATATTTGCAGGTGTTTCCTTCTTTTTTTATAAATTATAGCTCAGTAGTAAATGATAATGATAGTAGTATAATAATAAATGATAATAATAGTAGTAAATAATAATAGAGTAAATGATATAGTAGTAAATGATAATGGTAGTAATAAATGATAATAATAGTAGTAAGTGATAATAATAGTAGTAAATGATAATAATAGTAGTAAATGTAGTAGTAAATGATAATGGTAGTAATAAATGATAATAATAGTAGTAAGTGATAATAATAGTAGTAAATGATAATGATAGTAATAAATGATAATGATAGTAGTGAGTAATAATAGTAGTAGTAAATGATAATGATAGTAGTAAATGATAATAAGTGATAATAATAGTAGTAAATGATAATGATAGTAGTAAATGATAATGGTAGTAGTAAATGATAATAATAGTAGTAAATGATAATAGTAGTAGTAAATGATAATAATAGTAGTAAATGATAATGATAGTAGTAAATGATAAAGTAATAAATGAGTAGTAAGATAATAATAAGTAAATGAGTAGTAAGTAAAGATAAGAGAGTAAATGAGTAGGATAATGAGTAGATGAAACAAAGTAGTAAATGATAAATAGTAATAAATGATAAACAAACAAAGAAATTAAATTTTATCTATTTTCATTTTCGCCTTTTTTTTTTTTTTGTTTCTTTCTATTAAAAAATTAATTTGTATTAATAGTATTACGGTGAAGAAACAAAGAAATAAAAAATTTTTGTTTATTTATTTATTTTTTTCTACTTTTGTATACATCTGTTGTGTACAAAAAGCAAAAAATGATACTGTAAAATTTTATCAGACAAGAAAATAAGTTAATTTGTAATTTTATTTTTTTCTTTATGCGAGAAAAGGAAAATAAAAATTTATTTTTGCTAATTTGAAAGCGAAAATTTTGAAAAATCTAAGAAAGCAAACAACAAAAAAGTCAACACAGGAAGATTGGTTAATAATTGCAAGTTAAAAAATTAATAATTGAAATTTGAAAATTTTTAATTAGCCAATTTTTGTGATAAACAATTTTTTGTGATCTTTTATTTATAGTAAGAGATAATTTTTCAACATAAATTCTAATTTAAATTTTAATTCATTTCTTATTATTGGTACTTTTGTTTGCATTATTCATTAATAGGATATAATTTATTTATGAGAATTAAAATTTGTTTAAAATCAAACTAAAATTATTCCTAAATTAATCCATTTTAATTTAAACAATGAAAATGAAAAAAAAAACACTTCAAGTGGTATCTTTTTCTTTTTCTGTTTTTTTTTTTTGCTAATTTTTTAATTAAAAAATTTTGAGAGTACTGCGACTCTTCAATTTTTTAAAAAAAAAATGATTTCAAATAGCTAAGCAAAACTGAGCAAAATATGAAATCAATGCGATTAAAATAGAATTTATTCTTACTAATATTAATTGTTATTATCTTACGTGAATGGAATTAAATTTAAAAAAGTAAAACTTAAGTTTAAAAATGAAGGTTAAAAATGAAAATAAACGAAAAGTTGAAATTTTCAAATTTTCAAGTAGTGACTAAATTTTGTTTTCATTAGCAAATTTTTGTTAAAAGTTCATTGGAAACATTTTTCAATCGGTGATCATTTGTCTTTGTTTGACAATGTAAGCTAGTTTAAAGCAGCTAATTTTTCAAGAATTACAAAAATTAAACAGAATTTGAAATTTTTTTTTTCTCTTTTTTCTTTTGCCTTTTTTGTTTCAATTTGCCGCTAAAAGTTTGCATATGATTAAGTTAAAATTATTGTCTTCAAAAATTACGAATTAAATTTAAATGCTATAAATAACTAAATTTTATAATTTATTGAAATTGAATACAAATTTAAATTAAGCAATCATTTGACTCACACTAACTAACAAATACTACAAATCATTCCTCACTTTCATTTTTCTTTTAATTTAATTTTACCAATAATTCAATTTTTTGTTTGTTTATTTATTTATTTTTTTTTGCATAGTAAAATCAGAATTTAAAAAAATCTAAAGTTATAAAGAAATTTTTTCTTTGCACAGAAAAAAAAGAAAAAACAAAATTTGATCAATACTTTTGTCAAATGTCAAAATTGCTATCCCATAGGAAATATTTTGTTTCCACGGTTTTTCTTTTTTATATTTTTTTTTTCAAAAAAGCTACTTCGGCTAGTTCGTTCTTGTTCATCTGAAAAAAAAAAGAACGAATTCTTTTATTTTCATTTGATGAATGACAAAAAACCGGAAAATTTACAAAGCTAATTTTCAACCTTTACAATTTCACAAATAATTTCCGGATTTCATTTAAAATATTTGCCGAATTGTTAAGATAACACTAGAAATAATTTCCGGATTTCATTTAAAATATTTGTGAAATTGTTAAGATAACACCCGAATAATTTTCGGATTTCATTAAAAATATTTGCCAAATTGTTAAGATAACACCCGAAATAATTTTCGGATTTCATTAAAAATATTTGCCAAATTGTTAAGATAACACCAGAAATAATTTCTGGATTTCATTTAAAATATTTGTTAAACTGTTAGGATAACACCAGAAATAATTTCCGGATTTAATCAAAAATATTTGTCAAGTTGTTAAGATAACACTAGAAATAATTTCCGGATTTAATAAGAAATATTTGTCAAATTGTTAAGATAACACCAGAAATAATTTTCGGATTTAATAAGAAATATTTGTCAAATTGTTAAGATAACACCAGAAATAATTTTCGGATTTCATTTGAAATATTTGTCAACTTGTTAATTTCGATAATCGAAATGATATCAGCTAGAAATGATAAAAGTTAAAATAACATTAAAAAAACATTTTTTGAAGAAATGTTTTAGAATAAATTTTTACTTTTCAATTTTTTTATTTTTCAAACACAAAATAGAATGGAATTTTTGAGATAGCAAATTGCATTATTAGCAATTATTATGCATTATATTTGATGCATTTTCACAAAAAAAAAACGGAAAATGATGGGAAAAAAATTGGAATAAAAATGGATGAAACAAACAAAAAAGGAAAAATCGTTGTAAAAAGAAAACAAAAAATACTAAAAAAAATTTTATAAAAAATTATTTAACAACAAAAAAAAAAAAAAAACAGATGAAAAAGAACGATAAAAAAGGAAATGAAAAAAAGTGATAATTTGAAAAAAAAAAAGATTAAAAAATCTTGATAAAAAATAGTAGAGAGAGAGAGAGAGAGAGAGAATAGATCAAAGAATTACGATAACGAAATGAAAACGAATCATGATAATGAAAAATTACCATCATATATAAGATAATAAATAATGATTTTTGAATACTTCAAAAATTAAACATACCTCAAATTCTTTTCGTAGAATTGGCCCAGCGCTTGCAATATATAATTTATGAGCATCGTCCATTACAAGCTGAACTGGTTTTCGTTTAACCTAGAAAAAAAAAAAAAAAAAAAAAAAAAGAAAACAAAAATTAGAAAGTTTTAAATTTTAAATTTCCTACAATTGTCATTTTTAACACCTTTTTTTCTATTTATTTCTTTTTATTTATTTAGTATTATTTTTTTTTTATAAAAGTAACATATTATAAATGTGATATTTATTTATAATTTATTTTATTTTCTTTTTTTGAGATAAAACTTGTTTTAATAATTTATTTTTCACAAAAAAATTTTGATTAATGAAAATTAATGAAATGAATTTTGGGAATAAATTAAATTAAAGTTTTCTGTTTTTGATTTAAATACGACGAAAAAAATTCATTAATTTTTTCAATTATTTAATTACGTAAAAAAATACAAAATTATACTTTTTTTTTCAATACGACGAAAAAAATTTTTGTTTCATTAATTTCAATTATTTAATTACATAAAATACAAACAAATTATATTTTAATAATAATACTAATAGCATAAGCTTCAAGGAAAAGTACTAAAATCTTAATAATATAATCTTGAAATGAATAAATTAACACCAATGACATATATAAAACCGGAAAATCAATAAATTTTGAACCGGAAAAAAAAGAAGAAAAACGGAATTACTTGTCTGGTTGCAAACCGTATACATCGAAAATACAATACGACATTATCTTCCTGAATTTCCAATGCAAATTTCACCCAATCTTTGGTAAATTCAGGTACCAAAAATGATGCTAACGCTTTGGTATCGGTTTCTTTGCTTGAATCCGTGTAAAGTAATGTAATATTTGTTTGATTGTCAAAATCAGCTCGAATAATATTTATTTTAACAAAAATTATATTATTAATTCTAACAAATTTATTTGTACTAAAAAATAAATATTTCAAATTATTGCTAAGAATTTTTCTTTGTTGATAAAAATTTTCAAATGAAAAATAAAATTTAAAATGTTCAAACCGGCTGATTCAACCAAAACACCGAGATCAACAACCGTATCAAGCGGATTAACAACAGCAAATAAATATCCTCCTTGACGATCATCCGGTCGAATTACTGCTGTAAATGCAAAATTCCGGAAAAATTTTCGTGGTAGATATTGTCGATATGGTACAACAATTTCAACACCACGCTGCAAAAATTTTTTTTATTAAAATGAGATATGATAAACAAAATTTATTTTTCTTATTTTGTAACATTAATTTTTTTTTCTATCAATTTATCTTATCGTTAATTAATTAATTAATTAAAATATGAAAGAATCTTTTTTGTTTTGTTTTATTGTTTTTGTTTGTTTCTTTTTTATTTTATTTTATTGTTTTTATTTGTTTGTTTGTTGCTTCTTTTTAAAGTATTTCAAACGTACATTTTGTTTCATTTGCAACAAATACAATTTTTTTTCCTTTTTTTTTCATTTATCGTTGCAAAAATTTTTAAACTTTTTTAATTACAAAAAAAAAAAACAAACAAATAAACAATGTTTATTCTTACAAAAGTAAAATTTTATAATTTTTTTTTTTTTTGAAAAAAGCTAACCTTAATTCCAACAGCAGGAAAACCATCGAGACCTTTAGCTTTGTAAAGCTCAACACGTTCATTTAATAAACTTTTTACTGGCACCAAAAGATCGATATCGGATTCAGAATCTCAAAATTATAAAAAAGATAAATAAAATTTACATTAGACTTTTTTTTTTTAAATTAACCATTTTAGTTTAAAGAAAAATCTATTAGCTTCTAAAATCTTTGAATTATTTATTAATTTATACTAAAATTTTTCAAAATAAATTGTAATTTATATAATTTTAAATGTTATTTGCTAAGCATTTTATTCATTTTTATTCGCTATTAATTTGATATTATTTGCTAATATAAATTAAATATGATTAGCAACAATAAAATGAAATATATTGAAAAATTTGAAAGTATAATTTCTTTAAAGTTAAAATTTTGAAAGTTTATAATTCAAATATTATAATTAAACAAATTTCACCTGTAAATGCTTTAAGTAAAAAGTTAGAAAAAAGCATTAATTTATATTATAACAATTTTTATATAAAAAAATTGAAAAAATTAAACTATTGTTTAAATGTAAAAAAAAATTTTTTTATTAAAATATCAAAAAGTTTAGGACAAATAGCATTATAACAATGCTATTTGAATGAATTCATTAATTCTTATCGTAAAAAATAAATTAAACAATTAATTACTCATCTCATCAGTTAAATATAATTAAAGTTATCAAAAAAAAAATGAAATAAAAATTAAAAATTAAGAATTCAAATGCATGGTAACTAATCGAATTAGCATTTAAATAATTTTTGAAATATATTAAAATTTAAATTATTTAGCTTAGTAATGAATTATTTGAAATAACTGATTGAATTTAACCTTTTAATATTTACTTTTTTATTTTCTACTGTAATTATTAAACGTGCTTCAAGAAATGATTTATTTGGAATTGAAATTAAAATTTTTGATTAATTATGATTCTTAGAACAATAATTTGATATTTTTTTGGACAATTCTGATTTCAATTTTTATTTTTTATTTCTGAAAAACATAATTTAATACTATAATAAACAATTTTTGACACAAATAATTTCAAAAACAAAAAAAAATGAATTTTTACTGTAAACAAACACAAAAAAAAATGAATTTTTGTTTACATTACTACAAAAATATATGAAAAAAATATGAATTTAAATGAAAATTTTCAAAATTTTTACTGAAATGAAAAATTTTTATGTTAAAGAAAACAAAAAATGAAAGATAAAAATGATGATAGTATCAATGGAATTATTATTATTTTTGAGTTTAAAAAATTCAAACATTTTATTAAAAAAAAAATAAGCAATTTTTGTTTATTCTTATTTTTTAGTGATTTTTTTCATTTAAAATAAACAAACAAAAAAAAAAATTAATTCTATAAATTTATATATTAAATTTAAAATTTAATAAATCAAATTATCATCAAAAATTTTAGTATTTCCCTCATAAAATGCAATTTTATTGTTATTTCAATAATTTTTCATAGATTATTTTATGCTCAAACAAATAATCTCTCCCATATGCCATATGCAATTCATCTTTTTATGGCATTTAAAAAATTTTTTGACTATAAAATGTTTGGCATTTCGCGTAAAAAATGCCCATTGGGATTTATTTGTAGTAAAGAAAAATGCAAATTTCTGATGAGCAAAGCAAAAAAAAAAAATCAATAAATCAATCAATAAATCAATCAGTAGATCAACCATTCCTTTGCTAATCACAAACAATGTAGCAAACAACTATATGAAATATATTAATTTCAAATTTATATCATTAATTACATCAATATGAAATTTTTTAAATTTTATATGAAAATAAAAATCAATTTTTGAAATGATAACTTATCACCTGTATGTATGATTTTTTTTCTTCAATTTTAATGAATTATTTGTCTTTTTGTTATTTTAACAATAGGTTATTCAATTACTATTTGACTTATTGTATTAGTAATGACTTATTGTATTGCTTATTGTATTAGTAATTTTATATTTGCAATTACACAATGACAGCTAATATGCATATATTTGTTATTGTATTAGCTTTTTAGAGAAAGTTAAAAAAAAAAAAAATTAGAAAAAGAAGAAAAATGGATATTTCTATGATTGAAATTTACATAAATGTTAAATTTGAAATAATCCCAGGGGATAAATTTTACAATCGAATGTTATTTATTCAAAAAAAAAAAAAATTTTTTGAGAAAAGAAAAATGAAGAAAATAGTGAAATTATTTGAAATAATGTGTATATTTAAATTGTAAAAAAGAAAAAAATGAAATAATAGCTTTTTAAATTTTTCATTCTCTTTGTTTCAATTTAATTTGATTTCATCCATTTTATTTTTGATTATTTGAAATTATTTCCAAAAAAAAAAACAAATTTCAAATCATAAATCAAAAAACAATTTTCTTTCATGTAGAAACCATTTTTTTATGAAAATAATTTATGATAGATTAGATTGAATAAAAAATTTAAATTAAATCTAAGAAATTAAAAAAAAAAAAATGGCAGAAATGACAAAATATTATTTGTCTATGAATTTATTTTAATCATTAGTTATTATTTATTAAATATTTAAAAAAAAAATGGAGGAAAATTAGAATGAAAAAAAAAACTATTATAATATAAAAATTAACAAAATTATGATAAAGCATAAATTCTTATAAAATATTTAAGTTAAAATTAAAAATTGAAAAAATAAAAATAAAAAATTGTGCTAAGAACTTATAACATAGAATATGTATATACATAATGAAAGATTAAATTAAAATTATAACTCATAAATAGTTGAAAAAATTAATTTACAAATTTTTTTTTTAAACAAATTTCATTTTGAATTATTATAAAATAAGAAAAAAAAAACAAATTATTGGCAGAATAAATGTTTTGTGAATATTTCAAATTAATCAGTCATTTTTTTTTACTTTTTTTTATTTTACTCTTTCTGGATAAGTTATACTTATAAAAAGAAGTAATAAAAAAATTTTAAATATTAAAAAAAATATTATTAAGAAAGGAAATATTTAAAAAAATATAAAAAAAGTATAAAAATTATTAAAATACATATAAAAATATTAAAGTTATACATATAAAAATATTAATTTTGCAGCTAATTAATCTATCACTCAATCACTCACTGAATCGATCAATCAATCAATCAATCAATCAGTTATTCCATCTTTTAATTGCATTTTGTCTTATCACCAATTCATTTTATATTTTTATATTTAAAATTAAATTATAAATTCATTTCATCTTTCTGAAATTCTATTTTTATTCCAATTTTATTGTAATTTCATAATTTATTTCCTTTTTTTATTCATTAATTTTTCAATTTTATCAATTTCATTCGTTAATATTCAATTCAATTCATTTGCTAATTTAATTTCTTATCTAATCATATCATTAATCTACTTTTTTCTCTCTAATCAATCCTTTTATTAATTCTAAAAATCAAAATATTATCTGTAATAGCAGAAAAAAAAGCTTATATTGTTTAATGATTTGAAAAATATTTTGAAAAAATTAAAATAAAAAAAAAGAATAAAAGGAAGAGGAAAATAACAATTATTCTTATAAAAAAATGGTATTTCAATTTTTTTATTTTCATTTTTCAATTATTTTTTCTCGTTTTTGCATTCATACAATTTGCATATGCCATTTCATTTCTTTTTTTTGCTAATTTAGCTAGACGGTACTTGAGATAGGTTAAAGGTCAATGATAAAAGAATGATAACGATGATAAAGGAATATGAGATGAAGCAAAAACGAAAGAGTTTATTAAAAAAAAAAAAATCAATTAATATAGTCAATTTGTGCTTTTATTTTTACTTTTATTAATAATTATCAGTTCTTATCAGCACTAACAACTAATTTATCGTTGACATAAAATTTTATCAATCTATCAGTAATTGATTTGTAATCTACCAACTAAAAATTATTAACATTTATCAGTAATTTCTCTTAGCAACTAATTCCCTATAATTACATAATTGATTTGGTCAAATATTAATTTTCAAATTTAAATTTAAATTTATATTTTTTCAATTTTTTTAAAATTTGCCTCACCATCTGCAATCAATTTTACTGTAAGAGAATTTTATAATATATTGCAGATTAAAAAATTTTAAATGCTAAATTTGAAATATTTCTGAAAAAAACAATAGTGAAATTATTTTTTTGTTAGATTACAAATTAATAATTGAATTAATAAATTCAAATAAATTAATAATTGAACAATTAATTAGTATAGCAATAAGTAAAGTAATTGATCGATATAATTAATTTGTAAACTAATTTAAAATTTGTATAAAATAAAATACACCAATAAAATACGAAATATTTGTTCAAGATATTATCATTTATCATTAATTAATATCACTATTCAAAATTCCATACTGAAACATTTAAATACTTTAAATTGTTTTTTTGCTCTAAAAAAAAAAAACATTTCAAAATTGATTTTTTGGATTTAAAAAAAATGCAAATAATTTAGGTTACTTTTGGAATAGAATAATTTTTATTTTACTAAAAAAATTTCTAAATTTATTTCAGTGCTTTTTTTCATAAATGAAATAATGGAAAAATCTATTTTTAATTTTTCACTAAATTTTTCAGAAGAAAAAAAGAACAAAAAAAAAAATTAGCAAATTGTTCAAGTATAAGTGAAAAAATTTTTGCTTCTTCTTAATCTTTTGATCTCATTGTTTACTTTATTTTTTTTTCTTTTCATTTCAATTCCAACGAAAAAACAAAAAAAAAAGAACAAACAAATCAAAGTAATTTGTCTTTTACTAAAAACAAAAAAAACTTTCTCAAAAAAAAAAATTCATTAAAAGTTAACTTTTATTTTACTTACATTAATAAAAAAAAGGAAAAAATAAATAAAACTAATTTATTCAAATTGGATTGGAAAAAAAAGTACTGCAATTACTCGATGGATTATTTATCAATGATAAGTGATATTTTAATTAGTATATTGTTTATAATTTATCAATATTATCCTATTTAATGAATGTAAAAACAATATATAATTAATGGGTAAATAAATAGGGAAAAATGGGTAAATAAACTGGGAAGCAGTGGGTAAATAAATTGGGAATTACTACAGATATTGTTGATACCAATTTAATAATGAGAGTGATATGTCATTTATGTGATAAAATTATTTGTCAAATAATTTTATCACTGAAATAATTTTTGTGAATGTTTATCAGTAACAAAATTTTTTTGCATTGATAAATTTAAAAGAGAAAAAAAAGAGTTAAATAAATATGAGAGAATTAATCAAAATTACAATGATATAATAATTTCTATGAAACAATGCTTGGCAATGTTATCATTGATAATAATCAAAAATTTCAAAAATTATCAAAATCACTTTTACGCATAAAAAATTTAAATAAAAAACAAAAAACAATGAATCACAAAAATTTCATTCTTATCACAAAAAATTATCATTCAATAAAATTTTTTGTTTTCTCATTTCATAAGTAATTTTTTTGTTTGTTTATTTTAATCAAATTATTTATCATTTTATGATTAATTAAATTTTTTTTAAATTTTATAAAAAAAAAGAGTGTCTATTTTATTTGATTTTTTTAAATTCAATTCTTTTTTGTTTTTTTGTTTTTTTTAAATTTCTTTATTTATTTAATTCATTTATTTATATTTTTCTCTCTACAATTTTCACTTCCATCTTTTTCTCTCTCAAAAGATTAAAATAATTTATTACTTTAGAAAAACTTTTATTACTTCGTTTTTTTTTCCTCCATCTTCACTTTTCGTTAATTTATGTTCTTTTTCTAAAGAAAAAAACGAAATGTATTTGTGTTTCAGAGAGGTTAAGAAAAAAAAAATAAATTTAAAAAAAAAAATGAAAAAATAGTTAGAAATATTTTTAAAATTGTTTCAGTTAGATTATTAATTGATAAAAAAACTTTTTCACTTTTTTTTTTCTTCAAAAAAAAAGAAAGAAAATAGTACAAAATGCATTATTTCTTATAATTTTAAATGTATTAATATTAAAATATTTTATATTTAATTAAACAAAAAGAAAAGAAAATTTTATTTAAACAAATTTAAAAAACAAAAAAACAAAGTAACAAAGAAAAAAACGAAAAATGCTAGTTTTTTTTATAAAAAATTAAAAAAATAAAGATGAATTTGTTGAGGAAAAAAAAAAGTAAAAGAAAAAATTTTTTGTTTTATTTTTTTTCTTTCCAACAAAAATTATTGATTGGAAAAAAAAATTTTTTTTCGAAAAATAAAAAGTAAAAATCATTTAATAAAAGAGTAAAGTAGTACTTTTTTCCTTTTTTTTTTTTTCATTTCCACTAATCATTTTTCATTCTTTCTCTTTAATTTTACCTTAGTTTGCTAAAAATTTTTTCATCCTATAATATTTTAAATTTAAAAATTAAATTTAATTCTCAAATTTAATTCTTCGTAGAAATTTTTATCTAAAAAAAGGAGGAAAATTGTAAAATAATTATTTGTTTATGTTTTTGTTACAACAATATTTTATAATAAAATGTAATATTACTAATTTATTAAAAAAATATAAACACATTTCACGTAAAAACTACGCAAAATATCAGCGTTTTTCACGTTTTTCACGTAAATATTATCTAATTATTTATCATTAATTATCATTTAAAATGTTCTACACTGTATGCTTTTTTTTTTAAAAAAAAATTTTATACAAGCTAAAACTTATTGTTTAAGTTTTAAATTATCAAAAGATTTGTAAAAATTCTTTAATCATTCTTTCCTTTTCTTTCTTTCCCTCTCTCTCTCTCTCTCTCTCTCTCTCCCTCTTCTGTTTATTATATCATTTTGATTTCATTTTATTTCAATGACAAATTTAAAAAAAAAGAAGAAACACAGTTTTTCTTAAAGAGTAAAAAAATATACAAAAAAAAAAGAAATTAATCTGAAAGATTTCAAATTGGAAGAAATAAATTGAAATGCAAAATTTTTTTATTAAAAGATATTCAATTACTCATAGAAAATTATAATTTAATTTCAAATTTAAATTTAAATAAATATCCAACGATTGATTATGCTTAAAGATTATTAATCTAAATAATAAATAATACACATACGAAAAAAAAAAAAAGAATTTATGATTGATAAAAAACGAAACAAAATATCATTTCAATTATTTTTATTTAAAAAAAAAATGAAAATATAATTACATAATTTTTTTTTGCGTTTAAAATTTTTCATAATAATTATGGCAATTAATTATAATTACAACGATTAATTAATTTTAAATAAATTTGCTTAAAAATTAATAAAAAAAAAAAACGACTAAAAAAATTAACATTTTACACTTAATTTTTATAAATAATAATACTAATAAATATATTTATTAATTTAACTTAATTTCTAAATTGTAAAAGATATAATAATTTAATATTAATTATTAAATTTAAATTTATTGACTGACCTCCAGGTGCATTTAAATCAATGCTTAAAACATTGCAAATTGTAATATACAGTAGCAAAAAAAGTAGATATAATCGAATAATTTTCGTCATTGTATGCATTCAATTCCAATTTGTAATAAATTATAATTTTTTTTTCTTTTTCGAAAAAATTCAGATTAATAATTCAAATATTTGCTAATAGTATCGTTTAGCATTTCGTCCAGAAAATTATCACAAAATATTAATTTTTTTTTTTCAGTTCAATTCGAATTTGAAATGTACACACTTCAATTCAATTCAATTCAATTCAAATTCAATTGAATTCAGTCAAAAAAAGTAGTAGAATATAGATCAGTTTAAATAGATCAGTTTTGATTAGATTAGAATTAATTTGATTTCAATTTGAAATCAACAAATTTTCAATTTAGTTCACTTTTTCAAATATAATAACACTTCGTCGTAATATTTGTCAAATTCGAAACAATCAAAAATTTCGAATTCATTCGAATGAAACAGTGATAATATCGATGAGAAATAATTAGTTAGCTCGAATTTATGCAAATTATTCATACAATTAATCAGCAAAAATATTTTAAAAAATAGTTTGTTTAATAATTTTTATTTTTTTTATTTAGAAAAAAAAAATAAAAAAGAAAAACTTTTTTTCTTTTTTTGAAAGATTTCAAATATTTAGAAAATTTGAAATTTTTTTTAATAATTGCAATTGCAAATAAATAATAATTTCGTATTATTGTAATGTAAATATCAAATTGTTTTGATTAAAATTGCAGAATTTGCAATAATATCGATGAAAGAATTGAATTACTAATGAAAATTTTATTTACTTTTTTTTTTCCAAAAATTTTTCATCGATGAAATAATTATTATCACTGAACAATTTCAAATGATTGATTAAATTTCAATCATTTGCTATGATAGATAGTATTTTTTTCTTGGCCAAAAAATGTTCCATTTGTTAGGCTTAGGCTTAGTAGCCAAATAATTAGAGCCAAGAATAGCCAATAGAGCAAATATCCGATTGTAAAATTAAGGCAAAAATGAGGAAGTAAAGAAGATGAAGAAGAAGGCGGTACTTTTACTTTTTTCTTTTTAAAAAAAAAAAAACGAAATATTATTTCCGTTTTTTTTTCTCTTTTAAATTGTTAAAGTTTCTTTACTTTTTATGCAATTTTTTTTTTTTTTTTTTTTTGAAATTTTATTTATAAAAAAATTTCGCTTTAATAAGAGAATATAATAAATTTTAAAATTTTAATAATATTATCAGAATTTCACTTTTTTTTTTTTATTCCTTCCGAGATTTTCGCCTTCTTTTTCACTTCTTTTACCTCGAAATTACCTAAAATGAAAGATACAATATAAAATGTATATTTGTGTAAAGGTAAAAGAAAAAAAATACGAAGATGAAATGAAAAGAAAAAATTAATTTAATAAATTTATAATTTTAAATTTCATAAAAAAGAAGCAAATTTTAAAAATTTGAAATGTTAAAAAAAAATGGAAAAAAACACTAATAATAATATAAAAAAGCAAATCAAATGATAATTTAATAAGTGCTAAAATGGAAAATTTTCAAATATCTGTCAAAGTGCATAAAGAAATTAAAATTAAAATTTTATATAAAATTAATTGAATAAATTGCAATACTAAATTTTATTATTAAAATAATGAAAATTAAAATAATTTTTCAAATAATGAAAAAAAAAGAGAGAAAAAAGTTCATATGAACGTAGCAAAATGCCTTCTTAAACTTATAAATAATATTTTAAAACATTTTATATACTATAAATTTTTTATTTAATGAAAAATTTAAAAAAATATTCAAATTATTTGAAATAAAAAATAAAAAAATAATTTTAATTATTGAACTATTTAAATTTGATTAAGTATGATTTCAAAGTTAAATAATTACAATCTAAAATCTTTCCCTTTAATTTTTTTTCTAATTTTTACTTTCGTTTAGATTTTTAATACTTTTTATTATTTTATTACTTTAAATATTTTTATAATTCAATTATAATAAAATATAAAGTATTTGTTAATATAGAAAATTTATAAGCTTTTCTTACCAAACTTTCACTAAAGAAATTCTTTGCAAATTTTTTAAAATTTTTAGTTTAAAATTTGATCTCTATAGCACTTTTAAATCAATAATAATAATATATAAAAATATTAAAAAACAAAAAAATAAATTTTTTTAATTTTTTTTTATTAAAAAGAAAAGTTTAATTTAATGAATGCATCAAATTACACATACACAAAAGTTTAATTTAATTTTGATTAAATTTATAAATTAATAGTTTTTTCTTTAAAAAAATCTTTTACACATTTATTATATCAATTAAATATATCAATGAATTTAATTATAAATTATTGCTTTTTCTTTTTCCATTTTGACCTTTTATTCGTTTTATTTTTTTCAGAAAAAGAAAAACAAAAGAAATAAGAAAGGTCAAATTTGATTTTGTAAACAAAAAAAACTATTATTTAACTCAAATTTATGTTATTTATTACCATATTTAAATAACCTACAAAAAAAAAAAGTTAATTAAATTTTTTAGTATATTTAAAAAATAATAATAAATAACATGTTGATTATCTTTTTAAAATATTATTTATTTCTTCCATTGCAAAATGACATTAAAATTTTTAACTTCTTTCTTTTTTAAATTTTTGCTTTTTAAAATTAGTACTGTTAACAAAAAGAATTAAAATTTTTTCAATATCCATTTCAAATTAAATAATAAATGAATGTGAATTTTGAAAAGAGAAAATTAAAAAATTCCGAATAATTTTTTTTTTTTATAACTGATTAAAAAAACAGAAATTACTAATAATAAAAGTAATGAATAAGAAAAAAAAAGAACAACTAAAAGATGCAAATAATATTCTTTGAAATTAAATTTTTCAAACAAAAATGAAAGAAAAAAAAACTTTTACCAATAATTTTTTTTTAAAAAAATTTTATTTTAATTAAAATTATATAAAAATATATTTGTTCATTTCAAAAAAAGGAAAAAAAAAATTTCTTATTAAAAATAATGAATGCTATTAGAATATTCAAAAAATTTTTAAACATCATTTAAAAAAAAAAAAAAAAATTTTTTTTCTTTTTGATAAATTTGATGGAAAATAAATTTGGAAAGATGAATAAATCAGAATGATTCTTTTTCCTTTTTCTTTTTCTTTTCTTTTTTTTTAAATTGCTAAAAATTTGATATGTATATTTTAGAAATTTGAAATTAAAATTTGCAAAAATTTAAAATTAAATTTATAAAAGAGGGAATAGCAGCAATAAGATAAGAAATGAAGATAATTCGAGAAGGAAAAATCTTTTAAAACTTTTGAAAATATTCTTCTCGAGAATAAATATTTCATATGTCACATTTAAATTGTCTAATTTCTGTGTGACATATTTTTGACTTATAAAATGATTGATGCATGCTTATACACACACACACCACGTACTGCTAATATTAGCTGCCCAAAATTTTACATTTAAATCGATATAAGCTTTAAATGCATAAATTTTAAAATGGAAATTGGTAATTCCGTAAAGATAGTTACACATTTAATCCATTTCTTATTTATTTTTTTTTTTTTCAAAATTTATTTTCTTTTTTTCTATTTCCTTTTTCAATTTCTATTACATATTTTGTTCATTAACTTCTCTTATTTTCTTTCTTTTCTATTTCCGTGTGCAAAAATTTAATTTTGAAAAATTTGCAAATATAAAATTTTTTATTCGCAAATATCTTTTTTCATACTAACATTTTAACTTTTTACTTCTAAAATAAATTGTAAAAAGGCATTATGCATTAATTTTTCAATTATAAAATATCAAAAAAAAAACGATAAATTTTATTTGATTTCATTTTAAAATATTTTTGTCTAATTCAAAATAATTTCCTTTTTTTGGCATAAAATTTTTATTTGCTTTTTTTTTTGCTTTCTCTTTTTATTTAGTAAAAAAATGAAATAATTTATAAAAATAATAGAGAGAAAGTATAAGAGGAATAAATTATATACAAAAAAAGAAAAAGAAAAAGAAGAAAAAAAATTTTTTTTTCAAAAATAAATTTGAAAATAAAACAAGAAAAAAAGATATTTTTATCTTATTTCATATATTATTTTCAATATTTTTATTTTTATTTATTAATTTGATTATTTATTTTTATTTTAGATAACATATTGAGTATTTGAAATGAATAAAAAATTATAAATAATACATATAACAATAAAAAAGATCACGTATAATAATATTACATATGACAATAATAGTAAATATACGTTGATTATTACGTTTGATAATAATAAAAAAAAATTATCACGTATAATAATAAAGAAGATCACGTATGATAATAAAGAAGATCACGTATGAAGATAAAGGATATCACGTATAATAATAAAGAAGATCACGTATGATAATAAAGAAGATCACGTATGAAGATAAAGGAGATCACGTATAATAATAAAGAAGATCACGTATGACAATAAAGAAGATCACGTATAATAATGAATGAGATCACGTGTAATAATAGTAATGCCACGTTCAATAATAATAGTAAAAATATAAATATACATTCTATTACGTAAATGACGCAACTAAAGTTGCAAGAAAAAAAAGATAAAAGAATGAAAGGTTAGTGTGATGATAATGACGAGATTACGGAATTGTATTATAAAAAAGGTTGTTAAAACGAAGGACGAATCGAACCCACCCGAAAGGGTAAGGAAAAAAAGGAAAAAGGAAAAAGGATCGTTTCAATTTATGCCATTCGACAACCCAAAATAAACCAAATACTAATCAAACCTTACAAATTCTAAATTTTTTCATACCTGTAAACAGGTGTATTTGTATATAAATTTATATACACTCATCGTTTCTTTATAAATTAATTAACTATTTAATTTTATAAATTATTTGATCGTTTTGTTTTATAATTTTTGTTTTATTTCATTTTACAAATTATTTTTTTTTTCTTTTTATAAATTAGTCGCCAATTTTGTTTAATAAGTCAATTGACCATTTCATTTTATAAATCAATTGACCATTTCATTTTATAAATCAGTTGACCATTTCATTTTATAAATCAATTGAC